CCATGTCTGACATTTCAGGCACAGTAACAATGTATGGTCCATCTGTGAATTTTGGAGCATTGTCATTGATGTCTTGCACTTTGATGATAAACTCAGATTCAGGTTCAAGAGGTTTGTTTGTACGTCTGTCAATGGCTTGAGCGTGAAGCACATAGTGGGTCTTCTGCTCTCTGTCTAGGCTTTTTGTTGAGTGGATATCACCCGTAGTATCGTCAATGATAAATATAGTCCCAGCACCCTCTCCAGTAAGGATGTACTTGACAGATCCATCACCTTTGTCAGAATTGGAGTGAAGCTGTGAAATACACATGGAATAATTTAGCATGTATTTATATTCCGACCTCACATTATGTTCTCTGAAAATTCCCTATCTATAATTACTTTGTTTGACTATGACTTTTCTTCCCTTTATAGTGCACTGTGTGTTACTACTATCATTTACATTTTTGCAGTATTTTTGTTTTTTTCACTTGGTTAATAATAAGGATATTGCTATCATGGTTTGTCTAAGAGATCCAGTTATTGAGCTAAGAAAAAACCAATAAACAATATTTATTAAAACAAAAATGGCCCTGTAATTTTACTAAATCCACATTCCACTAACTGCCATAAAGTTGGGAAAATAAATTCCTAGATTATTGTTGACTTCCATACTTGTGAAAATAATATATTTTGTTTCATTTTGTTTTAAATATTTGACATTGATTTCAACTTTACGACTAGAAAAAAATATATATCGTATGACAAATTGAGGTTCAAATTAATTATTAAAATTTTCACAAAAGAGGCACATATTTAAGTCATAGTCACAGTCATGTGTTTAATAATTAGAAAAAAATAAATGAAATCACTTCTAATATGAAGGGCTTTGATGTAGAATATTAAAAAATAGAGTATTTTTGGCCTGGTGTGGTGGCTTACGCCTGTAATCCCAGCACTTTGGGAGGCCGAGGCAGGAGGATCACGAGGTCAGGAGATTGAGACCATCCTGGCTAACACAGTGAAACACCATCTCTACTAAAAATACAAAAAGTTAGCCAGGTGTGGTGGCGTGCACCCATAGTCCCAGCTACTCAGGAGGCTGAGGCAGAATGGCGTGAACCTGGGAGGCGGAGTTTGCAGTGAGCTGAGATGGTGCCACTGCACTCCAGCCTGGGTGACAGAGTGAGACTCCATCTCAAAAATAATAATATTAAATAAATAAATAAATAAAATACTTTTTTAGGGATAGAGTATTTTTTTAGTTAGGGATTATAAAACTTTAACTCAAAATTTAAATAGTAGTTGATATTTAGTTGATAAATAGGCCCTCATTTTAATTAACTGAAATATAGTAACAAATCTAAACTTACTAAAATTAAAATTATCAAATACATTTGAATAGATATTATTAAAGTAACAATAAATTAGAGAAGAGATCTTCAATAAGAAAAATACCTGAAATATTAAGATAATATATTTTGTTGTCATTTAAACTGCATGTAGTTTTTGCTAAAGATTGTGCTATAACACCGAATTCACTTAAATAGTTCCATGAATGCCAGTGCTATATTTCTAGCTAGAAATAACAGCAGTATTTCCTCAGTTCACAAATATATTTTTAAGGATTGTTTCTCCCAAGAGGTCTGAACAGTTATCCTTTATATTAAACCCTTTTGGTCACATAACCTCAATGACTTACCTTTTTCTCATTTCTGACACGTAGAAACATTGAAAAAACACAACCTTGTTCACATAGCATTTCAGTTTTCTTGCCATAGTAACATGAACATTTTTGAGTTTTAAAGTCTCTGAACTCTCAGAAGACATTTGGAAAAGACAAAATACAGAAAAAGACAATGCAATATGAGAAAAAGACTTTTTCTGGGAAAATTAGGGCAACTGAAACATAAATGATAGTATGGGAATAATTTTGCTTCTTTCTTGAAAACATGTACAAAATTACCAGGGAAAAATTTTGACAGGAATCACAGAGTAAGATTCAACAAATGAAACCATTTAAAAATGCTTATTTAGATCTTGTATAAAAATGAGCAAAAATACACAGCTTTCAAAGATGCACACTTCATTAGTAAACTGGATACTAAAAGAAGAATGCAGAATGAATTGGGTGATACAATTGTATCCATGTATGAAAATGTGTTTATTTATTTATGTCTCTTAACATATCATTTTAGTTACTAGAAGAAAAGATTCATCTTTCATGAAGCAGACACCCAGAAATTATCAGTAGAGCAACCTATTTCATATTCTCTAACTTCACATCAATCTGTGACCAAAATGGAGCAAAGTAAATCAACAAATTCATTTACCAAATGTTTTTAAAACCTTTTCTAGAATACTTGTCATTAAACTATAAAAGGTGAGATAGTTTGGTAATTATTATGTCGTTATATATAAATTATAAATCTATATTTTGTACTTATAACTATATAAAACATTTCTGCATAATGTGTTATGCCTTTTAACAATTTCTAAAAGTTTAACAATGATGAAAATTGGCATTCATCTTCAGGATATGTATATGTGTGTGTGTGAATATATATATATATATCTATATATATATCTATATACATGAAAAACATTTTTAGTGAACTTTATTTGATATCACCTAGTCTTTTTATTATTAACAAAATGTAGTAATATAAAATTATACTAAGTGTACAGTTAGGTTCGTATTACAGATACTTAAGTATATTTAAAGAAGAATAGGCTTAAGTATATAAGAGAAATAGTAAAGTTCTTAAACTACAGCATCTATTAAAATATATACACTATACACTCTATATAAATTCTAGTACTTCAGATACAAAATAAAAATTTCAGTAATTTTAGGGCTATCAGTTTTAAGACTTGAATATGACTCCACATGTGTACCATTATCATAATTCACATATACTTGCTATAATTAATAAAGTTTTTATAATACCTAATAAACAGCATAAATGCTTCTGAAGACATGACTAATTTGAACCTATATTGCAATAAGATCAGTGAATTATAATTCAATAATATTTATATTGTTGGATAATCTTATACCAAATATTATGAAACTTACACCAAAATATCATGAAAATGTATTTAGATTACATTGCTTTCTGAGAATATTTAGCACGAGTTTTTAAATAATGTAGATGATCATTTTATTAATGAAATTTTAGTTTCTTGGCCAGCCTGGTTAAATCTTGAAATAATCACATCCCCATGTAACACTAATGGGAAACCATTGTAGTAGTTATTTAGTAGATTGACTAATACTTTATATGATTATGATGATAACCACTTGTGAAGTAGCAAAGTGGTTTACTCTCAAGATTCCCTCTCCTCCACCCCATCTATTCTCATATCTCAGTTCTGTTTGTAACATACACTTCACAACAGGAATGGAGCCTGAAAGAAATCTTGACTATTTTGTCTTGAATTTTTTAATAAATGAGTTTTAACACTCTAGAGAAGTATTTTATTAATTTTTGGAAGCCAAAAAATGATGAATGAATGAAATATGTGAATAGTAAGGGTAGTTGCAGACATAGAAAACTTGAGAAATGGAGAAAAAGCTCTTGAATAGAGATTAGGAATATATAATAATAACCAGATTAGAAATCTGGTTAGGAATATTATGATGATAGAAATATGTCATCTCTGAGTGGGGTCACCAATGAGACATCAAATGAAAGAATTTGGAAAAGAGCATGGAAATTAGAAATACTCCATATATACACATGGTAGTGACTCAGTAACCAGTTAAATATAGGTTACAAGCTTAGCTAGTCACTATACTACTTAAGAGAGATGTCCATGATTTTTTCACAGTGAAATAAGAAAAGATATTTGGAAGATAAATTTGATTTCAGTTATATACAGTGGAGTTCTTTTTTTTTTTGTTTTTTAATCAGTTTAGTAATACCAAGTAGCAGGGTCTGAATGTAACACCTTATTTATACTTTTAGAGCCATGAGATTTTGCAAACTAGGCTGTATTTTCATGCTGAAAGACAGACATTTTATTGTGCTAAAGCAAGAACAGATAGTCTTTGGGTATCTCATCACATAATAAAGTAGGGTTAATTAACTGCTCTTTAGAGAACAGCAAAGGAATGAGGGGTGAAAAAAAATAAAAAGAAAATACAGTCACCCTAGTGAAGCAAAAATGCTAGTAATCTCTAGCATTACTTTAATAAACTCACTTTTTTAGCATTAAGTAGTAACCTATGGCACTTAGAAAGTCAACGTGACTCACATGAGTTCACTCTAGAAAACTATTTATTCACCCTGGACTACATTAGGATCAGGACCTGAAAATGTATAGCTTTCACTCTAATGCAAAGTTGCTCAGTACAATCATATTCTATCCCTTGGGGAAGAATAACTTTAAAAGGTTAAGAAGATGGTGGTGGAGTCATTCATTTAGAAAGTTGAGTTTAATTAGGACTTTAAGCTATGTTAAAAAGATAGGTCATTGACTTAAAACTGTAATATTTTGGGCTACATAATTTATACACTTGTTTATAAGTAGAAAACATATTTATAATATTTCAGTGGAAGCCAAAAATAAAGGCAGAAATATAGTAATTCCACTATGATTGATCATTATCTCCAAAACTTGCATAAAATTATGTGACACAACGTGAAAGAAATGTGAAAACATAGGGGATACATGTCATTGAGAGGTATTATGTATCCTTCATTCCAGAATGTATTATATTCTTAAAGTATAAGCAAATGAAACAAAAATCAATCGAAATCTTAATAAGTAACTGATGTGAAATAAAACACATTAAGCAGTTACAGTCTCATGCTAACTGATAATATATTAGTCTCTGTGAAAAAGGGACATGCATTAACCATAATTTTTATTTAAACACCAATAAATGTGTAAAAAGTTATGTTAAACAGTTAAATAAAGTTTTATTTTCAAAAATTTAATCCATCAAGGTGGATGGGAGCCAGGACTAGATTGCAGCTATAACTCAGATGGACAGAGCAGGATGTGGAGGCTCGCATCGTGAATTTCGCCCCAGAATGACTGCAGGAATATCTGGAATCCTGAGAGTACCCACAGACCCTCTGAAGGAAGCAGATTGTTCCTGCAGGGCCCCCAAGACAGCCCAAATACTGTAAGTGCCCACGCTGTGAAAGAGGGAAAGGGAGATCCTCGCCCCTGAATACACACCCTGCTGGGGAAACTGAAGGTCTGGTTTATGGGAGAAGATTTCTGATCTCACCTGGAACTGTGTGAATTTAGAAAGCCAAGCAAAATACAGAGGTAGAGGAAGCAGTATCCATTCCTGCTTGG